AGGAGAGAAACCCTTCAAGTGCATTGTGTGTGGGAAGGCATTTTCAAGTTCATATAATCTTAAAATACACCAGAGAACACACACAGGAGAGAAACCATTCAAGTGCACTTTGTGCGGGAAGGCATTTGAACAGTCACCACATCTTCATAGACACCAGAGAACACACGGGCATCAGAAGACCCCCAAGGAGTGTAGTCTGAAATCGACTTGTGAAAGTCAAAGTGCTGCAATGAGCCCATCCCTCCTGAAAAAAGAACCAGAAGTAAATTCCAGCTTGGACAATATGAAATGTATCAAGGTGAAATTTGAAGAGGCGACGGTGAAGAGCGAAGAAGTGACAGTGAAGAGCGAAGAAGTGAAGGTCAAATGTGAAGATGAACATTCAACTCCAAAATTGGACCTTCACATCAATGGAGGCAACGTGAAGCAGGAGGAGAATTCTGACTGTGAGGCAGAGCGAGGCAACTCCCAGCAGTTTGTGGAAGTGGAGGTGTGGGTGGACTTCTTAGACAATACAAAGTCAAATGGAGAACCTGTAGATGTGTAAGATTGAGACAATGAAGCTCCAATAGATTCACATTTGTCACAGGCCTTTAAGGAAAAGAACTTGAAGTTGAACACTCCATTCCTATGTTCAACCTGCAGATTAAGCGCAGTCAGTATTTGCGGCCCTGTGGGTTGGGTAGATCTCTAACTTGGAGCGAGAGCCAATAAGCTCCCAAGCATTCACTATGTTATAATAATATTAGCATTTATATAGTGCTTGCTTAATCGCCTCAGCAACTCGGAGTTTTGTATTATCTCATCACAAACACTCGAAGAGCACACCTTTTGGTGTCCTCTGGATTATCACCGTTTGATACTAGGCTCGAAAGAAAGCTGTCTCTGGTGTGGACCAATCAGTTTCAAAGACAATGCATATATTGTGTCCTATGACTAACCACACGGCAATTCGAGGGGAGAGAATTTCACGTAAAAACAGAGGCACGACCCATACATCGAGACTACTGCAAGTTACAGAAGACTACAAGCGACAGAGTACTGCGACAGGGTAGACTCCGGGGCATGGCCTCGAGATCAACAATGGGTGTTGTGTCTCGCAGAGAAGAGGGGGCGAGGTGATGCTCGTTGCTGAGTTCGGCATGGACCGACAGAGTATCGCTGAGAGTTTTATTCTACATTCATCCTGATGTTTTGAGTTGCTTGCAAAGTCAAGGATTGCGGTAAGTTGTATTGTACTAAGCTTTCACAGTTGTTTAAGAGGTGTGCGAATACAATTTACAAGTTTTGAGAGTGAGTTCCAGCTCCCACGAGCAGCTGCGATCGGCAGGCTCCGGGGAACCTGCCCCCGTGACTGGCACATCGTCAACGAGCTGCACCAGCAGAAGCCACGAGTCTACGAAATCAACACAAAGAGTTACTGCAAGCAGCAAGCTCTGGGGTGGGACTCTGCAATCAACCAAGGATGAAGAGGCTTGCCGAGTAGCAATTGGTCACCGAGTACGAGCTCGGCGCTGACAGAAGTATCGCTCAAAGTTATTCTACACTGAGTGCCAGCTTCCACGAGCAGCTGCAGCCCGAGAGATAGTGACGAGCAACGACGAGCAATCAACTGGGAAAAAGGGTGAAAGCCCAATTATCGACCAAGCCAGCATCGTAGAGAACCAGCTGCACGCACAACCAGGCATCGCCAGAGAGCACGGAGCCGGAGAGAGAGCGCAGCAGCGCCACCGAGCACGGGTGTCAGCTGCCAGCGGACGAGCGGTGAGCGCTGTCGAGCACCTTCAAAGACAAGCATCGTGACTATTCAGCTCATCCAGCAGGGGAAAGAGCCTGACCAGCCGCCCGTGAGGAAGAGGAGAGCGCCGTGTGTTCGACCCACACGCACCGACCAGCACCAGCTGTGAACCAAGACAAGAGTGAGGAACGGCGACCAGCAGACGAGCTGCGGGCGCTATCTGACGACGGAATCATCGCGCGCCGCCGACGGCGAGAGTCGTGCCGCCGACGGCGAGAGTCGTGCCGACTCTTCATCCAGCAGTGGGCAGCAGCTCCAGCTGCCGCCGAGCGAGAGAGAGCGAGGAAGCTGTGTGTATGTCCCTCCGCCACACTCACATACTCACCACGTATCACCCAGCGTCTGCTTGACGCAAAGAATTGATCAAGGAGACAAAACCACCAAACACACACACACCGCACATACCGGGACTAATAATAAGAAGAATGATAAGAGTGCGTCAACTATTAGCTGATAATGAAGAACATTGCTGCCCATTGAGTCACGTGGATACGGTCGTTGAGAAGTATTTTAGTCGTTCTTTTTGTTAATTTTAACTGTACCGATGAATTCATTGACGAAACTTAACGTTTAGAAACCTACGTTACGAATCCACACACTCACAGAGAGACTATTGTGTTTAAATTTTTATTTTGATCACAGAATCTTGCCCGCGGATTTATTGAAGCCTTAGCCAATTGATAAGCATTTGCTGAAGCAGACACACTGCCGCACACCATTGTTCCAAGACGTTTAGTTAATTACATAATCTACCAATGAATTCATTGAGGTCTACTTTTGCATTCGGGACATGTTTCTTTATTGCTGTTAGTATGAATATTGTCACATTTATTTTTAAGGACTTTTTCCTATGCTCGTGTTACTCTGAGGAATTAACCGATTGCTCTGTTACCCAGTTTAACAACGTAATCATTGAGGGTTAAATGTACGGATCAATGAGGAGCACATCTCCAGGAGTACTGTATTGACAATTCCAAGCATAAGAGTTCGCATATTAGAGTGTTATGTTTTTGTTTAGAAATTAAAGTTGCTTAACACAGAAGTGTCTGAGTGGTTCCTTCCTAAGTTCATGCATAATGATCTTAATTATAAGAACTGTGTTCTTTGGCGAGATCTGAATTCTGAGACCTGATAGAATTACACTAAAACATAATCAGTAAAAGTTAAAGCGAGAATCTTTGTATTATCACAATTAGTAAGAAGACAATGTTTTCATGTACCAGTGTGGGGGGGGGGGGGATGGGTTTTATGATGATTCAAGCACATTATATTTGTTGTGCACTTTATTTATATTATTACATTGTAATATGAAATAATTATACAACTCACCATAATGCAGAATCAGTGGGAACCGTGAGCTTGTTTTCCTGTAACTAGATGGTCCCGTCGGGGGTGATGGGAGACGGTGACACCCGAAACGTGTTGCCTATGTCCAGTCTACTCCATAATCTCGTTTTGGTTGCTGTCACTGCAGAAAACCCTGCTTCACAAAGATAGGATGTTGGAAATGGAAGCAGGCTTTTCAGTGCTTTTGTGACAATATCAGGATATTCCGCCTTGACTTTAATCCAGAACGTATCGAGATTTGAAATTGTCTCAAACATACTTTTAAGGCCACCTTCATTTGCGATCTCAAGCAGTTGATCCTCTTCTAGCACAGACAGTCGATTCACCTGGCTTATTCACAAATGGGTCGCGGGTCCATTCCTTCCCAGTTCGTGGGTCTTTTGTGGTTGGGAAGTAATGCTCAAACTCTTTTAAAAGCTGAGATAGGTTTTAATGCACCAGCTGGGAGAAAGGCCCTGGCTCAGTCTCTTTCAAAATCTCTGCTAGTGTTTGAAACATGTCAAAAGTTCCAATGTTCACTCGTCGCCCCCATAATTCCAGTTTGGCTTTGAATTAAGCCACTTTATCTGCCGAATTGAACAGAGTTGTCGATCTCCCCTGAAATTACAGATTGAGTACGTTGAGCAGGCTGATTATGTCACACAAGTGAGCAAGTTTTACGACCCATTCTGTGTCACTGAGATGTTCTGCCAGTGGTGACTGTTTTTGTAAAATATATCTCTGGAGTGGCTCTCGCAACTCAAAAACTCTGGCCAGTGATTTACCTTTAGAAAGCCATCTCACTTCTGTGTTTTAGAGATGATGTGTGGTGAGCGCGCTGCGCTACGAACCCGGCGACCCGAGTTCAATTCCCGCTCACGGCCACCACGATTATTTTTATTGGTCCTGGGCTTCCCCTAGGTCGACTCAACCTCAAACGAGTAACTGATGTGGTGTGTGAACATCGCCACTGGGGAGACCAAAGGCGGCCGGGCGTGGTGAATCCAAGTCCCGGGCGAAGCCGGGGAAGTCAAGCTAGTCTTCTATATATGAAAGGAAAATTTGTGAATGTGTTGTCTGTTCAAAATGTTTAGCGTACTTCCCGACATGCAACAAACTTGAAATTTGCCATGTGGGTACTTTGCAAAATGTACACCATGCACAAATTATAAAAATACACTTTTGTATTTGGGGGAGGGGGGGGGGGGGAAATGACCATGAAGTGTGTGGCGAAAATCGATATCTGCTGAGCGTTTGTGGTATCCATCAAACGGGAATAAGCCGATTCTAAAGAAATCTACAACCTTAGATTCCTTTGCGCGATCGTAAGTTTATTTTCCACCGCACGTTGGGTTTAATTTTAATTAATGAGATAATCTTCTTGGTTCTCTCGGTAAAGTCACGTAGAAGGGAAGTAATAAAATAATAAAAAGAAATAAGTATATTGTGCTTTTTTAAAGAATATTTTATTTATTATTTGTTAATATGTATTATTTTAATTTTATTACTTCCCTTCTACGTGACTTTACCGAAAGAACCAAGAAGATGAATCCCTGCAGTCACGAAAGCTTTAAATCGAAATTTAATGAGATAATCATAAAAAACAATTCAGTTGTATATGTTATGTTTTTAAGTTTTTTGAGAAGTTTTGCAATAAATGTTTCCCCCGGGCAACGCCGGATGCTTCCCGCTAGTACCTAATAAATGCAACTGAAACTATCAACTGGCGGTTAATTAACATAATTTATTCATGCTTAATCACTGCACATGAGTCCGTATCATTAACATCATTTATTCAGTTACACCGTCGATCGTTGGGGAGGGGATTGTGTGTTGAACCCCGTAAGTGACGTCATGTCACCTGCTGCCGCGTGACGTCACGAGCTGCTACACCGCGCTCGCTCTCACAGATCCGAGGTGAGAAGTCAACATCGTGGTTGTTGTTGTTTACCCAGGTAGAGCCTCTCCCCATCTCTCTCTCGTAAGGATATCAATTGAGTAGCAGCGAGTATGGAATCGATGTCCAGGTTGGAACATTACAACGCGAGGCCTCGCCACGCGGGGCCTTGCCTCCTGCCCTCGCCTGATTGCATTTGCTTTAATCCTCTGCTTAAGTTTAATTCGTCTTCATCTGGCTCACTACTTCATGCGACCTCCTTTGCCAGTAGCAACATATAAGAAGAGGTTTTTTCCCTTTTTTGGCAACAAACAGGTGTTAAGATATTCTTGGTTCTTTCGGTAAAGTCACATAGAAGGGAAATAATAAAATAATAAATGTTTTTCACGGCTGTCGATGATTGCTCGTGTTGCAGTCGAAACGTCATGAAAATTTTTATATTTTTTATTTTATTATTTCCCTTCTACCTGATGACTTTACCAAAAGAACCAAGAATATGAATCCCTGCAGTCAGGAAAGCTTCAAATCAAAATTTAGGTGTTAAGATGTTAAAACGCCGAACTGAAACCTCTTGCAAGGAATCGTGTCTGCATTAACCATAATATACTCGCGATCAATATGCAAACAAAACACATGCTGTGATAATCTGTGCATTGTCTGTGAAACTGATTGGTCCAAAACCAGAGACGGCTTTCTTTCGAGCCTAGTCTCAAACGGTGTTAGACCAGAGGACAGCGCCAAAAGGCGTACACAGCACAAAGACAACGCCACCATCAGAACAATGACAGCTCGGGGTGAGCAGCTACATCATGGGACCTCCTTTCCCAGTAGCAAAATATAAGAAGAAGCGTTTCCCCTTTTATCATTTACAGATTTGTACAATTTTTTGTCTTGGGATATTTTTTGTATACGGTTTCTCCGTGTTTATTTCAATTGGTTGGACCATCTCTAGCTCCACCCACCTACCTTGATGCACCCATCTCAGGCCTATATAAGACCTTGTCTCAGCAGCTTTTTCTCTCACCTGAAGACGATTGCTTGTGTTGCGATCGAAAAGTTGTGATCTATTTTCTATGTACGCGACTTGACCGAAAGACCCAAAGAGTATAATTCCTGCAGTCACGAAAGCTTTAAATCAATAAATAACTACGTAGTTTGAGAAGCTCCCAATGCACCATTGGAACCTCCTTTGCCAGTAGCAAAATATGATAATTGTTTTTTTACCCTTTTATCTGGCAACAAAACTGACACCTTTTTTTACAAGGAATCATGTTTGCATTGACCACAATACCTGCGGTCAGAATGCAAACAAAAACACAACTCTGATAATGTATGCACTGTCCTTGAAATTGATTGGTCCACACCCGAGACAGCTTTTCTTAGAGTCTAGTCTCACATGGTGTTGGACCAGATGACGCCAAAAGGCGTACAACTCAAAGACAATGTACCATCAGAGTATGAGAGCTCGGGGTACGCATTTACACCATTGGAACCTCCTTTGCTAGTAGCAAAATATAATTGTTTTTTTACCCTTTTATCTGGCAACAAAACTGACACCTTTTTTCAGTTGTACGCCTTTGGCGTCATCTGGTCCAACACCATCACAGGACCCTGCGGGGTGGGCTGGTAGGAATAATACTTAGTACCGGTACAGGGATATCGACCGGGTATAGAGGAGTTAAAGAAAAAATTACTCTATTCTAGTGTAACGTTAATTAAAAGTGTTTGTTTTGACAAGAAACGCTGTGAGATTTAAAGACCCCCTCAACACCACCCTCAACACCATCCCTCCCACCAGCCCTCACCACCCCCCACCACCACCCCCCACCACCACCCAACCCCACCACCACCACCCCACCACCACCTTCTGCACTAGGCCTCGCGAAGCCTGCCGCACTAGGCCTCGCGAAGCCTGCCGCACTAGGCCTCGCGAAGCCTACCGCACTAGGCCTCGCACCGTGCTTTTCGTGCATAAATAAGGCGATTAAATGTATCTCGTCTCTGTGTTAATAAATGTTTCTTGTCTCTGTTAAAAAAACGTGCTGCGTTTCAGTAAAGTAAATTTTTTTTTTAATAAACGTGCTTCGTTTTCTCTGTGTTAATAAGCCTGCCGCACTAGGCCTCGTGAAGCCTGCCGCACTAGGCCTCGTGCCGTGCTTTTCGTGCACAAATAAGGCGATTAAATGTATCTCGTCTCTGTGTTAATAAATGTTTCTTGTCTCTGTTAAAAAAACGTGCTGCGTTTCAGTAAAGTAAATTTTTTTTTAAATAAACGTGCTGCGTTTCATTTCTGTGTTAATAAGCCTGCCGCACTAGGCCTCGCGAAGCCTGCCGCACTAGGCCTCGCGCCGTGCTTTTCGTGCACAAATAAGGTGATTAAATGTATCTTGTCTCTGTTAATAAATGTTTCTTGTCTCTGTGATAAAAAAACGTGCTGCGTTTCAGTAAAGTAATTTTGAAGCGAAGTTTAAAGTTTTGCCGTGATGCGCCGGAAGCGACGGCCATCTTGTTTAATTCACAGATCGCAGGGGGAGCGGGCGGCCATCTTGTCGGACAGGGTCATGCCAAGTGTTTGCATTAGGGGGCGATGTTGATACACGGACGGACGGATGGACGGACGGACACATTAATCTATTGGTGGTCTGGTCCACTTCGTTCCTACCAGTAATAACTGCCCTGCAGGTATGCTGTAGGGCAGTTAATAGATATTTTCTCTGCAGCAACGATGAGGTCGGAAGAGCGACGCCCACATGAATAGGTGGAACTCTGGGTTCCTAAAACCCAGCAAGACAGTGGGGAGCACAGCTGGTTCATCTGTCAGTCATCCCTTGACACCTGGGTCATTCCTATTACCTGCTGACAAGGAATCCACACTTACATGGCCTTAAATTGCACCTATCATGGCATTAGCACTGGGATAAGGTTACTTGCAATTCGTCATGAATGGTGGATTTTTGTTTATATATGTTAATGATGCATGTGAAATGTAAGTGTATTTTAGAGTTTATCTTTGTGGGGAGCTGTGGTGCATTTATTTCACTGCATTATGAACTCAACAATTAGTTTGATTATCACCGACAGCAAACATGATTGAACAGGATGCTGCGGGGTGGGCTGGTAGGAACGAATAACCAAAGAATATAAACATAATGTATTATTACACTTGTTTAGCCAGGAAAGCCCCACTGAGTCTTAAAGGTTTTTGTAGGGTCCTGCCAAGTGTTTGCAGTAGGGGGCGATGTTGCTACACCGAATCGGACGATACGAAGGGAGAGTGTGAGGCCTAGTTCTAGGCTTGAGGCCTAGCTGTAGGCGTTAGGCTGCTGTGAGTTAATTTTTTATTTAAATGTTTTAATTATTTATGTAAAAGCTTAAAATGTAAATGTTTCTATTTAAAAACATCAGGGAATGTAACATTGTTAAACATTAACTCCCTTTCACACACGCGGGGGTACGATACGAAGGGAGAGTTTGAGGCCTAGTTCTAGGCTTTAGGCTTAGCTGTAGGCTTTAGGCCGCCGTGAGTTAATTTTTAATTTAAATGTTTTTATTATTTATGTAAAAGCTTTAAATTTAAATGTTTTTATTTAAAAGCATCAGGGAATGTAACATTGTTAAACATTAACTCCCTTGCACACACGCGGGGGTACGATACGAAGGGAGAGTTTGAGGTGTAGTTTGAGGCTTTAGGCCTAGCTGTAGGCTTTAGGGCGCAGTGAGTTCAATTTTAATTTAAAAGTTTTAATTAAAAGCTATCTCAGGGAATTATAAGGGAATGTTACACTTGTTTAGCCAGGAAAGCCTCATTTATTTAAATGTTTTAATTAAAAGCTATCTGAGGGAATTATAAGGGAATGTTATACTTGTTTAGCCAGGAAAGCGTCACTGAGTCTAAAGGTTTTTGTAGGGTCATGCCAAGTGTTTGCAGTAGGGGGCGATGTTGCTACACGGATGGACGGACGGACGATATAATCTGTTGTAGGCTGGTCCACTTCGTTCCTACCAGTATAAGTAAAAGCTGAACTGCTTGTGGGCCTCTGCTATGTTGATTGATCTTAAATATATGCTGCTGAAGTTAAATCTGTTCATCCAAGCATTCAAGCAAATCTGAGCCTGGCCTCACACCTCTAAAGTTGCGATTGAACATTTGTTTATGCATTTCTGCATAATACAAATAGTATTATTCCCAACAGCCTTTGCTATGTTAGCTGAATTTTGCTTTTATAAATACTACTTTTGCAGCCAGGCTGCCGAAATTGTGTGCTTGGTGTTTTGTGTTAACATTTATTTTGAAGATACTATGGCTTCCAGGCATATTTATAACCTTTGGCCCTCTCATTGTGTGCCTTAACAGCCCGTGTGATGAATTGGGGATAATCTTGAATATGTGGATAAATATAGACGTGTAAGTCATGTGTGACTGTGTATATATTCATTCCTCTGTCCCTCAATACTGATGAAGATGGTGTGGACATTTTTTTCTGTCTGCAGCTGATGCTTCTTCTAATGTTTCCTCTGCAGAATTGGTCTGATGGAGCAAAGGCACTCAGCACAGCTCAGTAGACAAAGACAACAATGGGACCAGTATGCAAACAGCATGGATTGTACTGGAAATTTTACACAGGACCAGAGATCTCCAACGGGAGAGAAAGCCTTCAAGTGCACTGTGTGTGGGAAGGCATTTTCAAGTTCATTTTATCTTAAAATACACCAGAGAACACACACAGGAGAGAAACCCTTTAAGTGCACTGTGTGTGAGAAGCCATTTTCAAGTTCATTTTATCTTAAACTACACCAGAAAACACACACAGGAGAGAAACCCTTCAAGTGCACTGTGTGTGAGAAGGCATTTTCAAGTTCATCTTATCTTAAAATACACCAGAGAATACACACAGGAGAAAAACCCTTCCAGTGCACTGTGTGTGAGAAGGCATTTTCACGTTCATCTTATCTTAAAAAACACCAGACAACACACAGAGGAGAGAAACCCTTCATGTGTACTGTGTGTGAGAAGGCATTTTCAAATTCATTTTATCTTGAAATACACCAGAGAACACACACAGGAGAGAAGCCCTTCAGGTGCACTGTATGTGGGAAGGCATTTTCACGTTCATCGCATCTTAAAAAACACCAGAGAACACACACAGGAGAGAAACCCTTCAAGTGCATTGTGTGTGGGAAGGCATTTGCACAGTCACCACAGCTTCATAGCCACCAGAGAACACACACAGTAGAGAAAGCCTTCAAGTGCACTGTGTGTGGGAATGCATTTTCAAGTTCATCTTATCTTAAAATACACCAGAGAACACACACAGGAGAGATACCCTTCAAGTGCACTGTGTGTGAGAAGACATTTACATGGTCATCAGGTTTACAGATCCACCAGAGAACACACACAGGAGAGAACCCCTTCAGGTGTAGTGTGTGTGGGAAGGCATTTTCAAGTTCGTCTTATCTTAAAATACACCAGAGAACACACACAGGAGATGAACCCTTCAAGTGCAGTGTGTGTGAGATGGCATTTTCACATTCATCAAATCTTAAAATGCACCAGAGAACGCACACAGGAGTGAAACCCTTCATGTGCAGTGTGTGTGGGAAGGCATTTTCAAGTTCATATAATCTTAAAATACACCAGAGAACACACACAGGAGAGAAGCCCTTCAAGTGCATTGTGTGTGGGAAGGCATTTTCAAGTTCATATAATCTTAAAATACACCAGAGAACACATACAGGAGAGAAACCATTCAAGTGCACTTTGTGCGGGGAGGCGTTTGAACAGTCACCACATCTTCATAGGCACCAGAGAACACACGGGCATCAGAAGACCCCCAAGGAGTGTAGTCTGAAATCGACTTGTGAAAGTCAAAGTGCTGCAATGATCCCATCCCTCCTGAAAAAAGAACCAGAAGTAAATTCCAGCTTGGACACTATGACATGTATCAAGGTGAAATTTGAAGAGGCGACGGTGAAGAGCGAAGAAGTGACAGTGAAGAGCGAAGAAGTGAAGGTCAAATGTGAAGATGAACATTCAACTCCAAAATCGGACCTTCACATCAATGGAGGCAACGTGAAGCAGGAGGAGAATTCTGACTGTGAGGCAGAGCGAGGCAACTCCCAACAGTTTGTGGAAGTGGAGGTGTGGGTGGACTTCTTAGAAAATACAAAGTCAAATGGAGAACCTGTAGATGTGTAAGATTGAGACAATGAAGCTCACATTTGTCACAGGCCTTTAAGGAAAATAACTTGAAGTTGAACACTCCATTCCTATGTTCAACTTGCTGAGTAAGAGCAGTCAGTATTTGCGGCCCTGTGGGTTGGGTAGATCTCTAACTAGGAGCGAGAGCCAATAAGCTCCCAAGCATTCACTATGTTATAATAATATTAGCATTTATATAGTGCTTGCTTAATCGCCTCAGCAACTCGGAGTTTTGTATTATCTCATCACAAACACTCGAAGAGCACGCCTTTTGGTGTCCTCTGGATTATCACCGTTTGATACTAGGCTCGAAAGAAAGCTATCTCTGGTGTGGACCAATCAGTTTCAAAGACAATGCATATATTGTGTCCTATGACTAACCACACGGCGATTCGAGGGGAGAGAATTTAACGTAAAAACAGAGGCACGACGCATACATAGAGACTACTGCAAGTTACAGAAGACTACAAGCGACAGAGAGTACTGCGACGGGCAGACTCCGGAGCATGGCCTCGAGATCAACAATGGGTTTTGTGTCTCGCAGAGAAGAGGGGGCGAGGTGATGCTCGTTGCTGAGTTCGGCATGGACCGACAGAGTATCGCTGAGAGTTTTATTCTACATTTATCCTCATGTTTTGAGTCGCTTGCAAAGTCAAGGATTGCGATAAGTTGTATTGTACTAAGCTTTCACAGTTGTTTTAGAGGTGTGCAAATACAATTTACAAGTTTTGAGAGTGAGTTCCAGCTCCCACGAGCAGCTGCGATCGGCAGGCTCCGCGGAACCTGCCCCCGTGACTGGCACATCGTCAACGAGCTGCACCAGCAGAAGCCACGAGTCTACGAAATCAACACAAAGAGTTACTTACTGCAAGCAGCAAGCTCTGGGGTGGGACTCTGCAATCAACCAAGGATGAAGAGGCTTGCCGAGTAGCAATTGGTCACCGAGTACGAGCTCGGCGCTGACAGAAGAAGTATCGCTCAAAGTTATTCTACACTGAGTGTCAGCTTCCACGAGCAGCTGCAGCCCGAGAGATAGTGACGAGCAACGACGAGCAATCAACCGGGAGAAAGGGTGAAAGCCCAATTATCGACCAAGCCAGCATCGTAGAGAACCAGCTGCACGCGCAACCAGGCATCGCCAGAGAGCACGGAGCCGGAGAGAGAGCGCAGCAGCGCCACCGAGCAAGGGTGTCAGCTGCCAGCGGACGAGCGGCGAGCGCTGTCGAGCACCTTGAAAGACAAGCATCGTGCCAACTCAGCTCATCCAGCAGGGGAAAGAGCCTGACCAGCCGCCCGTGAGGAAGAGGAGAGCGCCAGCGAGAGCGCCGTGGGTTCGACCTACACACACCGACCAGCACCAGCTGTGAACCAAGACAAGAGTGAAGAACGGCGACTAGCAGACGAGCTGCGGGCGCTATCTGACGACGGAATCATCGTGCACCGCCGACGGCGAGCGTCGTGCCGACTCTTCATTCAGCAGTGGGCAGCAGCTCCAGCTGCCGCCGAGCGAGAGAGAGCGAGGAAGCTGTGTGTATTACCCTCCCCCACCCTCGCATACCACGTATCATCCAGCGTCTACCTGACGCATAGAATTGAGGAAGGAGACAAAACCACCAAACACACACATTCCGCACATACCGAGACTAATAAAAATAAGAATAATGATAAGAGTGTGTCAAGTATTAGCTGATAGTGAAGAACATTGCTGCCCATTGAGTCACGTGGATACGGTCGTTGAGAAGTTTTTCAGTCGTTCTTTTTGTTAATTTTAACTGTACCGATGAATTCATTGACGAAACTAAACGTTTAGAAACCTACATTACGAATCCACACACTCACAGGAAGACTTGTGTTGAAATCTTTCTTTTGATCACAGAATCTTGCCCGCGAATTTATTGAAGCCTTAGCCAATTGATAAGCATTTGCTGAAGCAGACACACTGCCGCACACCATTGTTCCAAGACATTTAGTTAGATGAAACTGACATTTAGCTTATTACATAATCTACCAATGAATTCATTGAGGTCTACTTTTGCCTTCGGGACATGTTTCTTTATTGCCGTTCGTATGAATATCGTCACATTTATTTTTAAGGACTTTTTCCTATCGCCGTATATGCTCGTGTTACTCTGAGAAATTAACCGATTGCTCTGTTACCCAGTTTAACGTAATCATTGAGGGTTAAATGTACGAATCAATGAGCACATCTCCAGGAGTACTGTGTTGATGTGGGGGTCGCTAGTCCCCGAGATCCCTCCCTCGATAATGCTTACGGCCGGGCTAACATCATCACTTGCCCCCCCGCTGCTAAGCGAACCGCTGCTGGGTTCCTCACCCATGGTGTGGGAGCTGTTGCTCGAGGATTCCCCTCCACCGCGGGTCCGCGTCGTAGGCATGGTTAGATACCGAGTAGTATTATGCCCCCTTTACACTACCACGATACCTTCCTTTCCTAATCGCGCGCCTGCAACCCACATGGAGCGAACGTAAGCACGCCCACACACACGCCGCTCCGCGCACTCCAACTCAACTCACGTTATGATCGCGCACCTGTATCACACACGGAGTGAACACACGCGACACCCACTCTCGCGCCGCTCTGCGCAGCGCTCCCCCGAGGCGAGCCGCAGCACTACACTCACCCCTGACTACTCGCGTTATGATCGCGCACCTGTATCGCACACGGGGTGGACGCACGCACACACACGCAGCTCCCCACGCGACACACTGCTCAACAAGATCACGCGAGACCACGCTTCGCTATTAATGATTTATTATCTGCTACTCGCGAATTGATGCTAAGTCAGTATGAGTCGACGAGGCTGGCCTATCCTACTTCCCCTGGGCCTATTCCCTATTTATCGGCTTACGATACCCTACTTCACCTCCCCACTCACTGTTTGGTGCCCACGGTGGTTCGCTGCTCCCTGTGCTAACAGCGCACCTCGATGCGTCGCACGGACGTCCGGGTCGCTGGCTGGAGCTGCGGCTGGTCCTCTGGCCTGGAGAAAAGAGAGCGATTTCTCGTTTGTGCCCCCTTTTTATCCTCCCTACATCAAAGGGATGCGGCTCCGAACGGGATGGTGTCCCTCAGCCCTTCCCTAACAATGAGCTCACGCCAGCTTGCACGCGCACGGTGGCTCCGCGGCGCCTCCACGGCGCTTTTGTTATGCTAATCGGATGTGCTGCGGCGCCGATTCCAAACGCGCTCCTTCGGAGTGAGCAGGTAGGAACTTGGTTGGACAGCGCATTCGTGCACGACAGAGAGACCAATAATTCCTGGTGGGCAGTGTGGAACATTGTTCCTACCTGTATTAATCTCCTTCTCATGCATGGCGCCGTGCTCCTGCGCACCCTAAACTATGCCGCCCCGTCCCTCCTCCGCCTGTCTCGTCGACCCGTGGGGGTGTGTGTGGGGGGATGCGCCTCAACCGCGGTGGCCGAATGCCCCACGCCACGGCCATACCATATTAAGGCTGGTCGCAGCGCCGCGGCGCAACGTAGCACGGGGGAGGTCGTCCAATTCCCTGATCGCCGGAAACCGTGAGAGTTAATCCCGATAAGGGTTTCTCGGATAAAAACCGGTCGATCAGGTGATCTCCCCTTCCAGCTCTATGGGTGGGGGAAAATGCGTGCGGGTGTGTTCATGTGAGGTGAGGTGAGGGGGGCGAGTGGTTGGCTCCGTTGCTTGATGGTGTCGAGGTCGGGGACGGGGCGCCCGCCGAACGGCTTCGTGGCGGCGGCATCACATTGACAATTCCAAGCATAAGAGTATGCATAGTAGAGTGTTATGTTTTTGTTTAGAAATTAAAGTTGCTTAACACAGAAGTGTCTGAGTGGTTCCTTCCTAAGTTCATGCATAATGATCTTAATTAAAAGAACTGTATCCTTTGGCGAGATCTGAATTCTGAGACCTGATAGAATTACACCGAAACATAATCAGTTAAAGTTAAAGCGAGAATCTTTGTATTATCACAATTAGTAAGAAGACAAGTTTTTTCACGGACCAGGGGTGGGGGGGGGGGGGGGGGGATGGTTTCATGATGATTCAAGCGCATATTTATTGTGCACTTTATATTATTATTACATTGTAATGTGAAATAATTATACAACTCACCATAATGCAGAATCAGTGGTAGCCCTGAGCTTGTTTTCCTGTAACTAGATGGTCCCATCTGGGGGTGATGGGAGACCGTGACACCCGACGTGTGTTGCCTATGTCCAGTCTACTCCATAATCTCGTTTTGGTTGCTGTCACTGCAGAAAACCCTGCTTCACAAAGATGGGATGTTGGAAATCGAAGCAGTCTTTTCAGTGCTTTTGTGGCAATCTCAGGATTTTCCGCCTTGACTTTAATCCAGAACGTATCGAGATTTGAAGTTGTCTGAAACATACTTTTAAGGCCACCTTCATTTGCGATCTCAAGCAGTTGATCCTCTTCTAGCACAAAGTCGATTCACCTGGCTTATTCACAAATGGGTTGCGGATCCATTCCTTCCCAGGTCGGGGGTCTTTTGTGGTTGGGAAGTAATGCTCAAACTCTTTTAAAAGCTGTGTCTGTGTATTTCAAGTAGATGTCTGT